GGCACCTGAGGACTGGCCCCTACTTCCCACTTTGGCCCTACGCTAGCACAGGGCCCCTCTTTATTCATTTCTCATGCTGAGCATGGCACACCTCTGGCCTCGGGGCATTTATGGATTTAAGACCAGGATGGTATTTCAGAAGTTTCCCACTTCCTTCCTATTCTAACCAAGTGCTCAGCTCCTTTGCTGATGATGGAAACACCCTTAATAATGAGACCTGCAGGCCAGGCGCAGTGGCTCATGCTTGTAATCCCAGCACTTTGGGAGGTCAAGGTGGGAGGATTGCTTAAGCCCAGGGGTTCGAGACCATCCTGGGCAACATAGCAAGAACATATCTCTACAAAAAAGAATTAAAAATCAGACCTGCTGTATCCCTGAAAAAGTCTCAATCAACATGCATGTTCCACTCTTGGAATTCCCTGTCCTGAAGGCCAGCCACGTCCTGTGTCCTGGAGCTCAGCCCTCAGCAGCTCCCTTCAGCCTGGGCGCTGCCTGGGTCCCAATTGTGTCAGCTGCTCTTCCAGTCTCAGGGCCGAGGAGGGCAGGGAGCTCAGTGACTGAGAGTCTTGTGTATCACAGGTCTTGAGTGTCCTGGAGCCAACAGCTGTCACTGGGAAAAACACCAGGCCCCAAAGATCGAATCAGAGACGTGGCTGTGTGTTTGCCGATTATAGCCGGGCCCTTCAGTGCCATCAAAGGAGCACCGGGGCCTCCTTAAGCACAGACGGCAGCCCCTGCCCAGGAGGCTCCTTCACCACGTCCTGCCCTGCAGCCTCCCAGACCTTTAGACGCGCCCCCACCCAAGGCCCTCCTGGTGCCAGGTGCCAGATTGAATGGTGGGTTGCTGCCGGGCAGGCCATGCCGTGCTGATGCTGCACGCAGCACATGGGTGTCGGCTCTGCCGGTTTTGTGGTGTGGGGACCCCACATGAGGCTGCGGCCCTGAGAGCCTGGGGTCAGCGAGGTGTCCAACATCCCTTCCCTGGTGGCAAGAAAAACTCCCAAAGTCAGCACTTTTGTTATTTTATAGCCACAACCCTCTTGGAAAACAGTGGGGAAGACGATGGAACATAGAAGGTGTGGACGTGTCACTTCTCTCTAAAATGTCATTGTTAGCACTAATTACAGGTTCATGTTTTTCTGTTTATGTAGCTTTTCCCTATATAGCTGAAAAAGTATTAAAGTCAAATATAAGGTGGGAATGGGATGGAAGGAAGATCAATACAACTTATATTTTTGCAGTTTCTACTGGAAGAAAAAAGTTTTCAATACCTAGACCAACTTGTTGAATTTTTAAAACCTATGCACTATAAATGCAACTCCCTACTGCTTTCTCAGTGCCTTTAGGAAGCTTTCAAATATTTTTTGTACTGTGGTTTGTATTAAATTTGCAATATTGATGTAAAGTACATGACATGCTAGTACATGTTTAGCAAAAATTGAAATGTCTGCGAATGTCTGTGTGATTTTCCAAATGAAGTCACTTTATTTCCTTTAAAGAGTGTGCTGGTTAATCTGCATTCTAAGACAGCCTTTCACCACTAAATATAAGGCAGCAATAAAAATAAAACTCTAGAGCTGCAAGCCTCGTGAAGGAGGAGAAAATGCCTGCCATTTCCCTGCTTCTGCCCAGCGGCACTGCATCTAGAGAGGGTCTAGGCACTCCTCCCATGTCACTGAGGGTCAGGGCCCCTCCCGGGTGCTCTCAGGACGCCCCAGACCTGACCCATTCTGTAAGAAGTGAGGAGGGTAGAGCTGAGAGCACTGTGGGTCCGGGGTCATGCAGGGTCCGCCCTGCCTGGCACAGGGCCTGCATGACAAGCCCATGGGAAGGGGGAAGGGGGTCACTGGCCCAAGCAGATTGTGGACAGATCCCCCAATGCCATAAAAAAAATGCTGGGGTCTAATTAAGCACAAATGGCAGTCCAAGGCCCAGGGAGCTGTGCTTTTGTTTCCTTTCAGGCAACTTTAGAGTCTGCGCAGCCCCTGCCAGACTTCCGTCACACCCTGCAGCCCGTCAGCAAAGCTGTCCTGGTCACTGGTGTAAGACTCCCATGTCCTCCCCAGGGACCAGGCCAGCCCTCCCATCTGTGGCCCCACACCTTGCCCCACCCCGCCCCCCATACCCTCTGCTCTGTGCCCTCAGGCAGGCAGAGTTCCTGCATTTTCACTCCTCACCCCCAGTCTGGCTTCTGCTGAGTGCGCCTGTGTGGAGTTAGGACGCGTACAATTCCTTTTTATTTTTTTTGAGATGGAGTCTCGCTCTGTTGCCCAGGCTGGAGTGTGGTGCAATCTTGGCTCACTGCAGCCTCCACTTCTCAGGTTTAAGTGATTCTCCCACCTCAGCCTCCAGAGTAGCTGGGACTACAGGCATCCACCACCACGCCCAGCTAATTTTTGTATTTTTAGTAGAGACTGGGTTTCACCATGTTGGCCAGGCTGGTCTAAAACTCCTGGCCTCACGTAATCAGCCTACCTCGGCCTCGCAAAGTGCTGGAATTACAGATGTGAGCCGCCATGCCTGGCTGGACGCACACAATTTCATCTCACTAGGCGCTGCCCAGCATCCTCCAGAGGGCTGCACCCACTTGGCCTCCCTTCTACCAGCCACACCTCCTGGGCTCCTATCCTACCCCCCCCACTGGGACCTGTATGGAAAGACTTTTTCAGTCTTGGGCTTCTGAAGGGATGAAATGGCAGCTGTTTTATGTACATTTTGTTGATTCATTCACTCAGCATTATTTTTTTAGTCCATGTTGAATATCAGGCCCTGGGCCAGTGCTGGGGATCCATTCAGGAGAAAACGATGCAGACATCAGTGCTGTCCCAGAGCTGGCGTCTGCACTTGTGTGGTATGTGGTGTGCGGTGTGTACCCATGTGCAGGGGGAAGGGGTGCAGGCAGCTGAATGTGACCATGAGAACTCTGTGAGGCATGGAGAGGACCGGTGCTTTGCAGGTGCACAGAGCTGGGGTTAGGGGTGGCCCAGGTCTTTGGGGCAGTTTTATGTGGGACGTATGGACAGCTGGAGCTGAACGGCGAGTGGAGGCGGCGGCACGGCCGCAGTGAGGTCCAAGTGACAACAGAGCAGGGCCTGGGTGGAGACGGCCTGGCCATGGCTCAGAGGCTTGAGCAGGGCCCCGTGAGGAGGGTGTGGGGACAAGGTCTCCCTGATGAAGGCCGAGGGAGGCAGCTTATTCCCTGGAGCCAATGCCTCTTGTCCTTTACCTGTTTCTTGTTGCACTTGTTTGCCCTTTTAGATTAATTTGCAGGAGTTCTGTTTTCATTCTGGATAGCAATCTTTTTGTCAGTTACAGATATTGACAATGTTTTCCCTCAGTCTGTGGCTTGGCTTTTCACTTAAGGATTTAAAAAATATATCCCACAAGAGTTTAAAATTTTAGTATAGCAACTTTTCTATTTTGTTCTTTATGGACTATGCATTTTGCATCTTAGGAAAATAACTATCTTTGACAGTGGCTTTTGACCAAAAACCCAGGTTGTTTGATATTCATATCACCACACCAGCTTCTCAGGCCTCGCTGACCCACGTGTGAAAAGCCCAGTTCTAATTGTTGTTTCTTGATGCTTTAGATGTTCTCCTATGAATGTTTCCATTTCTAATCCACTTACTTCTGTTCTCATTACTGATACATCTGAACACAGGGTCCTCCTCATCATCTTCCTACAGTCTCTGTGGTGTTGCCTCCATTTTCTCTCTTCCTGTTTCTATTTCTGTAGTGGCTAACCTTAATGTGGGTATTTAACAAGGTCTAAGCAGGTGTTAAGCACGGTCTGTCTTCTCCCACAGCAGGGCCAGGACTGTGGGCGCTTCAGTGCCCCTACCCCCACCGCCCCTCAAGCTTGCTCCTGTCAAGGTGGAGGATCCCTCTAGCAAACCCTGGGTTGGCTTCTGCTGAGGGCTGAGTTTAGGAACAGTCTCCAGGCTGTTGTTGTTTTCCTAGTCCACCCTTTCACTGAGGATGCACCCCCTTGCGTATCTGTGCTTCACACAGGAGTTTCCATTCACCTTCTGCCTGCTGGGAGCCTTAGCTTCATCAGCTGTCCTGCTTCAATGTAAAACCCAACCCCTGGGCCGCAGGACTCGCACCCTACCCACCCACCGGCCTGCTCTAGGATGGCAAGCATCTCTGCTTCTGACGTCCTCTCCCCTTTCCACGTTTGTCCCTGGTCACGTCCTTGCCGGTTCGTGAATCCACTTGTGCAATCAACATGATGCTTGTACTCAGCAGTGCCCCTGGGTGTTCGCACAATGTGGTCTGCCGAAAACAGAAGTCAAGAAACATCTTTTTTTTTTTTTTTTTTTGAGACAGAGTCCCCCTCTGTCGCCCAGGCTGGAGTGCAGTGGTGCCATCTCAGCTTACTGCAATCTCTGCCTCCCAGGTTCAAGCCATTCTCCTGCCTTGGCCTCCCAGGAAGCTGGGACTACAGGCATGCACTACCATGCCTGGCTAATTTCTGTGTTTTATTGGTAGAGATGGGATTTCTACCAAAAAGACCACGTTGTCTAGGCTTGACTCAAACCCCTGGGCTCAAGGGATCTGCCCTTCTCAGCCTCCCAAAGTGCTAGGATTACAGGTGGGAGCCACTGTGCCCAGCCAAGAAAGACCTTTTTTTTTTTTTTTTTGAGATGGAGTATCACACTGTTGCCCAGGCTGGAGTGCAGTGGCACAGTCTCGGCTCACTGCAAGCTCTGCCTCCCAGGTTCACGCCATTCTCCTTCCTCAGCCTCCTGAGTAGCTGGGACTATAGGAACCCACCACTACGCCCGGGTAATTTTTTTTTTTTTGTATTTCTGGTAGAGATGGGGTTTCATCATGTTAGCCAGGATGGTCTGGATCTCCTGACCTCGTGATCCACCCGCCTTGGCCTCCCAAAGTGCTGGGATTACAGGCGTGAGCCACCGTGCCCCAAGAAGAAAGACTTTTAATGTTAAGAAGTTACTAGACAGTCCATCCAAATTCACTACCAGACATTGAACAATAGTATGAGTCTTTAGTTCATAATACTCAATGTTACTATATTTTGAAGAGTCCTAAAAGCTTTGGTAATTTTGGCCATTTTTTTTTCCTTCATTAGTTTCAAAATTAGTCATAATTTCTAACATAATTTTAACTTTTTTTAAAAAATTTTTTTCATTGCTCAACTTGCTAGATTTTCAGAAATTACAAGGAAAAACTGAAATAACAGAGCCAGGGTGTTAGCATCAGCAGGGCACGGGGCAGGGCTCCTTGTGGGAGTGGCAGCGGGGGCTCCCACAGCTCCATCTTCATCCTGTGTGACCCCGCCCCATGCTGCTGCCACTTTCCTTGTCTCTGCTGGCTTCTCTGCCACCTTCCAGACCCTTCCTTTTGTGTGGCCGATTTTCAGGAGGGGCCGGGGCACAACCTAGCAGCTGCCACCTATGAAAGACTTTCTTGTTAGTTGGTGCATCGTTTATCAAACAGACAAACCCCGAATGCTGGTGGTTTAGCACGTGCTTTTTCCTCCTGGTGAAGCCAAGTGCTGGCCATGGGCCTCTCTTCCAAGCAGCGACTCAGGACCGACCCTCTGCAGCAGCGGCCCAGGGACACACATTCATTCTCCAAGACCGCGCCGCTGGCCCTCTGAGGGGCCCCAGAAACATCCCGTGGCCACCCACCCCAGGGCACTGTTCCCACATGGGTGCCGATGACTGCGCTCCTGGAGGGGCTGAGTTCGTGTTTGGGTCCAGGGGGTACCCAAAGCCGCTTGTCTGCTGGTGGCAGGCATGACAGACGCTTGGTTCCCAACTTTCCCCGCTTTCGTTTCCTCGTTTACTGAATGCTCGGCGCCCACCTCAGTTCGAGGCAAAGGCGGGACGCCCCTGCCACACTGCAGTGCGGACGGCAAGGCCAACATAAAGACATGAGGCGTCAGCAGAGGACGGAGCCACAGCGGCTCTGGGGCTGTCTTCTCTCCGGAGGTCGGGAAGGGAACGGAGAGAAAACGCAGGCAGCCACGCTGGGCGGAGGCTTCCAAGACTGCGCCGGCCCTGGGGAAGGGCGCACGCGGGGGTCGCCGGAGGCAGCGAGAGGGCCTGAGTTGGGGGGGCTGGGACGGGCAAGGAGACCCCCATCCCGGCAGTTACCATGTCCTGCTGGGGAGCGGCCACGGGGCAGGTCCCCGAGCTGAAGTCGCTCGGCCAAGAGGCGGGTGCTCGCCCCGCCCGGAGGGCCGGACCCCTGCTTCCGGCGCCGTTGCCGGAAGCGGAAGTACCCGTTCGCTGTCCACTTCCGGGACTCCGGAGGCGGCGGCGGCGGCGTAGGCTTAGAGGGTGAGTCGGCGGCAGGTTCTGACGGCCCGCGGGTCCGTAGGCGGTGGTCGCCGTGTTTCATCCTTGCTCTCCCTGTCTGTGGCTTCCGCGGGGGCGCGTAGGGGGAGGCCGGACCGGGACCTGGAGGGCAGGGAGGCCGTTCCGGGTCCCGTGGAGTATCCCGCTCGTGCGAGTGTCCTCGGCGCAGGTGTTCCCTCGGCGCAGGTGTCCTCCCCGGCACATGTGTCCCCCCAGGCGCAGGTGTCCCCTAGGCACATGTGTCCCCCCAGGCACAAGTGTCCTTCCTGGTGCAGGTTTCTCCTTGTCGGTGTCTCCCCCGCAGCAGGCGCAGGTGTCCTTCCTGGCGCAGGTGTCCCCCCTTCGGAGCAGGTGTTCCTCCTTGGGGCAGGTGTCCCTCCAGGCACAAGTGTCCTTTCTGGCGCAGGTGTCCCCTCGGCGCAGGTGTCCTCCAAGGTGCAGGTGTCCCCTCAGGCACAGGTGTCCCCCCAGGCACAAGTATCCTTCCTGATACAGGTGTCCCCTTGACAGTGTCCGCCCCCCCAGGCGCAGTTGTCCTTCCTGGCGCAGGTGTCCCCCCTTGGACCAGGTATCCCTCCTCGGAGCAGTGTTCCTCCAGGCACAAATGTCTTTCCTGGCACAGGTGTCCTCCAAGGTGCAGGTGTCCCTCCAGCGGAGGTGTCCCCTCCGTGAGGTGCCCCCCAGCACAGGTGTTCCCCTCGACGCAGGCATCCCCCCGGTGACGTGTCCCTCCCGGCGAAGGTGCCTGCCGGGCAGAGGTATCTCCCTGGTGCAGGTGTCCCCCTGGGTGCAGGTGTTCGCCTGCCGCAGGTGTCCCCCTGGGAGCTGATGTTCCTCTCAGTAGGGTGTCCCCCCCCTCGGTAGAGAGACTCACAGCAGAGCCAGCACGAGGGAAAGGCAGTCAGAAAGACCCTGGTAGGGGTTGAACCTGGGTCTCTGTTGGTGGCTTCTGAGTTCCTCTTTGGCTTCTTGACCCAAAATCTTTAGTCTTCAGGCTGGGATGAAAACCTCTGCATTGTGTTTTTTAACTTAAGGTTTTCCCTTTTCCCACATTAGTAGCTTTGTTCTGAGTCCAAGATGAGCCTGCTTCTGCTTCCCAGCTCTCCACTCACATCGCCTTGGCTTCCACCCACAGCGTGACAGACTTCACTCCAGCCTGGAGATGGGCCCAGTCACCTCACTGTGTGCACCAGCAGAGTGGCTGGGTGTCCACTTCTTGGGTTGTTATCCAGCCCTGTAATCAAAACCATACAGACTTTAATGTCAATGGAAATGCTGATGATAATATCCAAATAAAATAAGAAAACAAAAGTGTGCACCTACAAAGTCATAGAAGCAGTGGAATCTTAGCTTTAAAAGAAACTCAAAGGGAAAAAACTGGAAGGAAACAAGCCCTGTTGGAGGGAGTTGCCCGAGTGTCAGGATTTAAGGGGAGTTGCCCGAGTGTCGGGATTGAAGGGGAGTCGCCCTTGAGTGTCGGGATTTAAGGGGAGTTGCCCCCGAGTGTCGGGATTTAAGGGGAGTTGCCCGAGTGTCGGAATTTAAGGGGAGTTGCCCCCGAGTGTCGGGATTTAAGGGGAGTTGCCCCTGGGTGTTGGGACTTTGTATTTTTGTCCTGTCCAGATTTTGTACATTGTATGCCTAATTTCGTAATCAGAAAATAAAGAGAAAGGAAAGGTTGCAATGTAGGTCCAGATAAAAAAGGAGAAGAGAGGGGTCTGAAAGCATGTGGGCACGGAGAATGAAAAATTCCAGGAGAAGGCGAATCTTGTTAATATTCATGAAGATGAAAATCGAACAGCTGAAATCAAGGGGAACAGGTGTATCAGATTCCTGCATTGACCAGATGCTCACCAAGCAGCTGTCTTAGCTCCCCGAGGAGGACGATGGTGGAGGGAGTATGGAAGGCAGGCTTGCCTGCCATCTGAGCACCTGTGGTCTGCATCGGACCTGCATAAAGGAGGGAAGCGCAATGTTTTCTATGGCAGTTAAAAAAGGGGGAAATGGGGTTTTGGATACCCAAGACAGTAATGAGGTTTTTTTGTTTTTTTTGTTTTTTTTGTTTTTTTGAGACATAATCTTGCTCTGTTGCCCAGGCTGGAGTGCAGTGACGCGATCTCAGCTCACTGCAAGCTCCACCTCCTGGGTTCATACCATTCTCCTGCCTCAGCCTCTCGAGTAGCTGGGACTACAGGCATGTGCCACCATGCCTGCTAATTTTTTTGTATTTTTAGTAGATACAAGGTTTCGCCATGTTAGCCAGGATGGTCTCGATCTCCTGACCTCGTGATCCACTCGCGTCAGCCTCCCAAAGTGCTGGGATTACAGGCGTGAGCCACTGGGCCCGGCTGACAATAGTAACTTTTATAGGGAATTGTGGGGCTTGTGCTGGGCCTCCAGCTGTGGTACCTGTTTGGGGGAGATGTCTGTGCTGCATTTGTCTTCACTGAGGGTCCTGGTACAGCTGCCCACAGGCCTGGCCAAGGTGCTGGGGGAAGGCTCCCGAAATGAGAAACCAGCCCTATCTTGGGGAGAGATGTGCCTTGGAGACTGACATCTACATGGTGGGTGGTTTGGGACCCACATTTAGAATCTTCCAAATGTCCATGTCTCTCATGCCTATGAAACGCACCTGCTCTCCCCTTAAAGGTTTAACTTCCCCAGGTTTGTGTTACGAAGGTTTGTTTATCTTATCAAGGAGTTCCTCATCCTAGTTTAGCTTTCTTTGAGGTTTCCTGGATTAATGATCTCAGACGCTCTCCTTGTAGCTCCATTGTGATCATCTGATTGTTTGGGGGGAGGTTTTGTACCTACCATTTCTAACAACCTAACAACCCCTGCAATGCACACAGAATACCTCTAGCATGAACACTGTGAGGATTCCACCTGCTTTTTGACCATGAAGGAGACAGACCGGGAGGCTGTTGCGACAGCAGTGCAAAGGGTGGCTGGGATGCTCCAACGCCCGGACCAGCTGGACAAGGTGGAGCAGTATCGCAGGAGAGAAGCACGGAAGAAGGCCTCCGTGGAGGCTAGATTGAAGGTGAGGCCACCTGCTTCACTCCCAGGCAGCACAGAGCCATCTGTCTTGGGCTTCAGGTTCCTGCTTGACATCACCATGCTGATTTTGCTAAACTAGCCTTTGTGCTGATGTGCAAGGAGGCAGAGCTGGACTTTCTTGAGCAGTTAGTTACTTTCAGCAGTGCATTACCAATCAGTAGCTTTGCTTAGAAGACAATGGGAATGGTGAAAACAGCAAAGGAACAACCTTTTAAACACCCTGAGGCTGGGCACAGTGGCTCATGCCTGTAATCCCAGCACTTTGGGAGGCCGAGGCGGGCGGATCACATGAGGTCAGGAGTTCAAGACCAGCCTGGTCAACATGGTGAAACCCTATCTCTACGAAAATACAAAAATTAGCCAGGCATGATGGCGGGTGCATATAATCCCAGCTACTTGGGAGGCTGAGGCAGGAGAATCGCTTGAACCCAGGAAGCACAGGTTGTGGTGACCCGAGATTGTGTCATTGCACTCCAGCCTGGGCAACAGAGTGAGACTCCGTCTAAAAAAAAAAAAAAAAAACAAAACAAAACCCGAGAAACAACAACAGAAACACCACCATGAAAGTAACTATTAAGTGTTTAACACCAGAGGAATGAGAATTAGTCTTATTTAAAGCTCTTCTACAGAGCACCACTGGAGGGCATTTTGTTTAGATTGTTTTAACTCACCTTTAACACAGAGTGGATCTGAAGCTCGGGTGCCGATTCTGTCCTGTGGGTCAGCTGTCCTGAGGCCAAGTATGGTCCTGGCTGAACAGCAGGAACTCCCCGCCCCAAGCCAGTGAAGTCCTGACCGTTCTCTCTGCCTAGATGAGACCTCTTAGGAAACTAGGGTGCCTGGGGAGAACATGGGTGACATCCTTCTGAAGGTATCATAGCAGGCCACGGCCCAGGGCAGACCCGTGGTGGTGTCCGGTATTACCAGGTGTGAGGCTAGACGAGGAGCGTCCTGACGTTTTCTCATCAAAGCTTTAAAATGCATCATTTTTCTGTTCCCAGGCAGCAATGAAACAAAAAGTTACATTGTGAATCAATTAAATCCTTGTTAATTTTATTCTCTTTTCTGGGTATTGACTATTTCCTGCTACTCAGTGGCTGTTTCCTGAACTTGACCCTCCCGGGGAAGATTTGTTCTTCAGGAGGCATCACATGGCTGTCACTGGCTTTTCTCACCCATGTGGCGTCTCTCCTCAGGCCGCCATCCAGTCACAGCTGGACGGGGTGCGCACAGGTCTCAGCCAGCTCCACAATGCCCTAAATGACGTCAAAGACATTCAGCAGTCGCTGGCGGACGTCAGCAAGGACTGGAGGCAGAGCATCAACACCATCGAGAGCCTCAAGGATGTCAAAGATGCCGTGGTGCAGCACAGCCAGCTCGCCGCAGCCGTGGAGAACCTCAAGAACATATTCTCAGGTACCAGGCAGACGCTCGAGGCACTTGCCATGCTCACACCTGTCTCTGCATGACTCACTGAGTGCTCTGTGTGCAGTGTGCTTTGCAGCCCGCACTGTAGACCTGTAGATGGTAAGTGTGACTCTTGTCTGCTCAGCGTCTTTTTTTGAACGTGGATGGAAGTGATGAGCTGAGCACGTAAAGGCTAGAAGAAGGCTTGTAGTTCAGTGTCAGGACAGAGGCCCAGCAAACGCAGTGTAGAGGGAGTCCCTGGCTGAGTGTCGTTGCCTTGCCTGCGATGTGGCTCTTAGACTCTGTGAGTGCAGAAGAGTGAAGGTGCCACGGCCCATGCTTAAAAGAAGCTGTGGGAGAAGCTGCCCTGCACATGGGACAGAGCAAGCAGATTCCAGAGCAGAAGGGATGAGGCGAGCAGCAGCTCCCAGGCGGCAGGAGCATGTGTGCCCAGGCCAGGGCAGAGCTGGGGCTCAGTGCCGTGGGGGCGTGACCCTTTCAGTCTTCTCCCTGAACGCCTCAGAAGGATGCCAAGGGCCCAGTAACCTGTCTCTGAAAGGTGCCAGCTGGCCCTGGGTGGTGGCTCCCAGCATTTGTGTTCACAGTCTCTTCCCGCTTGCTGTGACGGGAGCTGCTTCCACAGCCTCATTCCTCGCCTTGGTCCCCACTCTGTGTCAAGGTCAGCAGCATCCTTCAAGTCCCCAACCTCAGAAGCCTTGGCAAGGTCTGATTCTTTC